TGAAAAATCTACTTCCTATTTTTTCGTGAAATCTTTGGTAAGTTGTGTTTGACTTCTCTAAAAGAGTCAAAGGAAGGAAATTTATGTTTTTTATTCTCAATCTCTATTTCCTAAAAGAGGATATTCTACTTTTGATTTAAAATCTTTTTCATCTTTTAAATTGGTTTTCGAAACTAATTTTTTTATCTCTTTACATTTTATTTATCGCATAGGGATCTTTTGCAAGTTGTTGAATCTAACTCATAATTTTCTTAATTAAGAATTCGCTTTATCAATAAGATGGGTTTACTTTTGTTTTTTAAGATTTCAGAAAGGTAGCATATTAAAAAATTGACCAATGATGCCAAAATAAAAGATATGCAATGACGTCAAATTGAAAAATATACACAAATGTGTATCAAAAATCAAAAGATGTGCAAAGAGCGTCATTCAAATTGACAAAGAGGCATAAAATGAGCCCACAAAATTTAATGCTTACCATTCTTGTACTTCTTAAAAGCTTAAGAAAACCCTTGATACTTTCGACACTTGATTTTGAAAAACATGATTCCTGATTCAATAATTCGTGCAGTAATCTTCTATTAGATATATTTTATGAAAGGAGTTTTAAAAAATTAATGTTTCTTTTTCCTGTTTATTCCTTTATTTGGATATTAGATTAAAAAGTTTTTGAGCCTTTAAAAGAACTTAAGTTGGGATTATCAAATTATGAATTTCTAACCTTTTTTGGACTATGCGTTGTCAATCTAATTCTACTAAATTTTTTATTAAAACCAAGAGATAACTTTCTCATTTTAACAATATTTATTTTTCACTAGATCAGGGAACGTTTTTGTCTTTTTGTCGTTTTGTTTTTTGTTTGTGCCTCCTCTCTTTTTGATAATGTCAAAGGGGAAGAGCGTATTGTTGAATCTGTATCCTTTGACTTTTATCTTTCTATCAAAAAATTAAAAAACAATATTTTTTATATCCCCTATTTTTTTAAAAGGGTTTATTCTAGTGAGGGGGAGATTAGAAGAAATTGCTTTTTTTGAAAATTCAAATTGAATTATTTGCCATCATCAAAAAGGGGGAGATTGTTGCGGATCAATGGTTTATGATTTTGGTGATAGCAAACATTTTTATTTCTCTACGACTTCCTTACGTACTAACATTTCGGTTCACACGATCGGACTGCAATTTAGAACCAACTCAAGATTGGGTAGACTAGGTCTGAGTGAGTTTGTACACTTTTCCTTTCTTTAGTCTATTGTATTTGTTGTGGCTCCTGATGTTTTGCAACGTATAAGAGTTTTTGACTGTTCCCTAAAGTTTACTGTTTTTGGTAACATCATCCTGGACGATATTTATATCGGCCGGGATGATCTATTCAAAAGCAGAAACCCTAATTAGGGCTTCTGTGCAAAACACATCGTCCTGGACGATTTTGTATCGGCCATGACGATAAGCTAAATTCAGAAAGTTTCTGCCGCCAGATCTATTTAGGAATTATTTATTTTTGGATATCGGCCAGGTGGATCGGCCTGAACTATAAAATATCGATCAGGACGATCCAAGACAATTTTTCCATAATTTCTCTGGCAATTAAGGAAAGTAATTAATGGTGATTTCGTCCGGGCCGATTAGACATTGGCCAGCTTCATTTCAGGGAGATATTCAGGATGAATTTTTTCATATTTGAACTAATCGGCCAGGACGATAAAGTCGGCAACTTGCATTAATGAACTCATTTTTAGCTCTTCTATTTAAGCTATTACATGACACTTTATAAGTGTCTTTGGCAGCCATAGTAGCTTCATTCTTGTGGGAGAAACTTGAAGAGAAAGCTTGAAAGGGAGTGAGGAACGCGTGAAGTCTGAGAGAGGGAGAAGATCTTATGAGGGGGGACTCAGGGGAGTGTGGAGAGGGATTCCACACGGTTGCTCCAGCAGGCTTGCATTTTAATACTGTTGGATTCAAGGATTGTCTCGAGGGAAGTTCACCAAAGAAGAAGATCTCTTTGGTGTCAAAGGACCCGGCGACTCCGCCGCACCAAAGAAGGTGGAAGTGATTTTGTAAGGGCTTCTCCGCCTAGCTGTGGGTGCTAAAGGAGAGACACTTGTTTTAGTGCAATACTTGGAGGGTGCCTCCAAGGAGTGGACGTATGTCAAGGTTTGACCGAACCACTATAAATCTGGTGTGTTCTTTCTTATTATTTGCTTCCGCATTTAATTTCCACATCGTTGGTTTTGATTGTGGTGAATCTTGTTTTTGGATTTAAGATTGTGTTTGTGTTAAATACTGATTCACCTCTCTATCTCATTATTAGCCTTGGGCCAGTTCATAAGGGATTAAATCCCTAATGAACTTTCAAGTGGTATCAGAGCACTTTCTAGTGTCATCTGAGCACTTTCATAGTCAAGAATATCATGAGGATCCATTCTTAATCTGTCTCTTATCAGTAAAGACGTGGCATGTGTCCTCTAACTGATGATTTCCCCATTAAATGACACCACACCTATGATTTTTCTATTAAATGGCACTACAAGTAAATGGTTATGATTAGGACCCTCTAAACTGGGTGGTTGGCCGGCAAATGGTACCATTATATTACGGTCTTGTTCAGCACCCATATGCTCCCCAATGGCGTTTAATCATTGAGATATGAATTAATAGGGTATAATAGATAAGACCCAAAGCCCTCTGTCAGCTAATGTGAATTCAAATTTATCCCCTTATATAAACATCCACCCTAGGTCTACTAGGTACCCTTGGACGACGCAACCCATGGTTGCTAACAAGGATCCTTCTATCAGGATGGGTCAACTACCTCCTCTAACTAAGTAGACCAGGGACCATGATGGCCAGAGATTACAAAACCATAGGATCTTGATGGAGCTCATCATCACTCCCCCCCACCATCTGCTCTAAGCGCAAGATGGCAAAATTTCAAATTTTAAATATCGATTTCCAAACACTCAATCCAATGTTGCTTCTATATGTCAGATACCATATATCTACTGATATGATGTATTCACTCGATGACTAACCTTAATCGAAAGTTCTCTCTCATGATTGGGAGAGGTAATTAACTATAGGGGAGTACGCCTATAGGAAACTAGATCTCAGATCATAAAGTCCTCGCAACATGAGAGCGAAATCTATGGGTAGTGTCTTATTTCAAACCTAATATGTCGTCCTAAAATTTTCTCCAAAACTTAATCCATTAAAACTCCCTCTGATAGTAGAAAAGACAAAAAAGCAAAGCGGTGGGGAGGCCTGGGATGAATTTTTAGAGCCCACAATGTTGCACAATATTTCTTATGTAATCCATCGATTCTGATCACCTTTAATGGCTTGAGCTATATTACAACCTTTTTTAAATGATTTTGAAGTTACAAACATAACAACCAAGTCTGTTTTGTAAACGAGAGATATTTGGGCAACTATGCACATTGAAACTCGTACCAATTTTGCTCTTTTCACTTGTCCAATCATCCTAACAATATCAATATCAATTTTATGTATTTTTGATGTTTCGGTCACAATGATAAAGTCCTCTTTGCGAACATACAATGTTTGGGCATTGTCATGCATCCTCACATATGTAGACTGTTTATTTCGACTGCTTTAACTCAATTCAAATACGAGAGATCCCCACATAGGTAAATTTGATGTTTTGATCGCATCGACACAATCCGTTTGGCGATTGAATATTTTTTATATAGTTTCGTGCAATGTCGTGCTCACTAAAAACTCATGTTTGTCTTCTTTCTTGACTGAGTTGCGCACGAATGATTCTTAGTAAATTTGGTGTTGTGCACGCATCAATGTGATCTATTTTATAATCAGGCAAAAATTTTGGGCCATTTTGATAGCGATTGAGATATCCTGATACTCACGATAAGCGATAGGTATGATAATCGCTTTCTTTGATGCACTTAATTAATCATGGAATATGTTTAGAGGTCAACAGGGATACGGACAAAATGAAGCTCACTTGAAAGGCATTGACGAATGATTCAAATCGAATCTTAGTTTGAACAAGGTTCAAATTGAACGTTGGTTTGAACAAATGTTTGAATTCAATTAAACCTAATTCAAACCATTCAATTTGAATATTTTTCGCAGGACTTCAAAATTAATAAATAGTTTGCAAATACAAAGGGGAGATTCATTTACCCAAAAAAAAAAAATTATGTTTCTTCAAGAAAATAAATAATAGAGATATTTTTCTCAGTACATGTATTATAGAACTTTTTAAACCAAGTTTCCCTTTCACCTATTTAAATATATATTAACTTCTATTAAACATTTTCTAAAATAACATTAAAAAGGAATTATAAAGTTCTTTATTTAAAATATTTCCATAATGCAATGTAAACAAACTTCCACTTCTATTTTTTAAATATTTTCAATCGAAATATTTTGTTATTTCTGGGTTTCGTTGTTGATAAAAAGCACACAAGCAATTCAATTTATAACTGATTGCAGAGATCAGGATGCTCAGGTGAGTTAGTGGCTTTTACTCTTATAGACAGAGATGAGAATTCTCAAATTAGAGTGGCGACAAATAAGTTTAGAGAGTTGTCTTAGATGATTTGGTCACATAAAATATCAGTCTTCCGATAACTCTATTAGGAGAGTAGGTATATTAGAAAGAGGTAGACCTAAAAAACTCGATGAAAAAGTATTAGAAATGATCTCTTTTCATTAGATCTAATTGAAAATTTTACACTTAATATGACACAATGAAGAAAAAGATTCATTCAACGGACTCCACACAGTGGGATAAAGGCTGAATATTGTTGTTAGTGGTGGTGCTCCACATTTCCCAAAAGAAAATCAATGACTTCATATTTTTAATAATTTTAATAATATTTTACTATATATTTTCTGAAAAATTAAAAAAAAATCAAATTAATTAATTTTAAAAATTCAAAAAAAAAAAAAAAACACATAAAATAGAAGAAAACTGAGTGCTAAAAAATTACACCCTACTTCAGGTTTTCTTTAAATTCTGAGTATAAACATCAAGAGATAATACTCGTTAAAAATGATATAATGACATTATCCATCGCAAAAACAATCCAATCAAGAACACCATGACCAAACAAAATCGAATTATTGCCACCAATCCACCTAACTGGACACTCAATCTCTCTTGACGCCCACAAGAAAAAAAAAAAAACCAACCTGAAGCGATGGAAAGAAATCTAGTCGCTCCTCCTCACTTTCCACTGTTTAATTTTCCACCTGAAGATGAAATCCTTTTAGCGTCCACGCCAACAGCGCTTGGTTGCCTTGATATTCTACTAGCTCCACTAGAATTTTTCCTGGATGATGGTGGAATGTATGCATAAGTTGGCGTCCTGAAGCATAAATGAACACCAATTCGTATGGTTAAAAAGAAAAGAGTTCAGATATTATTAGTACACACAAAATTAAAAGGCAAAATCAGAATTAAGATATTGGGAGCAGACGACAACAACAACAACATCAAGTCTTTGTCCCACTACGTGGAGTCGGTTGCATGAATCCCTTTTCGCCATTATGTCATGTTAAAAATCAAATTCTCATTTAAATCTTAATAAAGAAAGATCATTTCTAATATTTTCTAACCAAGTCCTTTTAGGTCTACTTCTATCTTTCTTAATATAAGACAAATCTAAAACCTCAAATTTCCTAACTGGGTCATCGCAAGGCCTCCGTTTAATGCGACCAAACCATCTAAGACGGCTCTTTCTAATTTTATCTTGCACTGGAGCTACTCCAATCTTCCCACGTATATACTCATTTCATATTCTATCTCTAAGGGTAAAGCCAGCATCCACCTAAAAAATGAAAAACAAAATCCAATCTTTATGCAGAATGAGCGTAGTTTGTTGAAAAAGATAATTTTTTTTTTCTTTTCCTACTAATCAAGTAATTCTAGTATCTCCATCTTACCTGAAATCCGGACTATTCACCGACTTTATTTGAGGCTTCTTGATCTTAGAAGCACCACAGTTGCTACTAGAAGTAGCTTTTGGAAGATTAAATTGCCACAATGCATCAGCTTCTGAGGAGTCACTTGTAGCAACGTCCAGATCATCCGAATCATCTGTGGTTACCGAATCAAATCTGTGTCTCTGGATCTCAAACTCATTACTCTCTGTCCTCCAGTGTGCGCTTCTGCTGTAGGGCTGATCCTGATATGCAGTACTATCAGAAACATACCTCTGATAAAAGAAATCAGGCAGGGTAGCAAAATTCCCATCACAGTGGCTTAGAGAACTTTCAAGCTTGTTCACCATAACCTTATCGACCCAATCTCCGGAGCTTGCATCTTTATCATCTTCCCCATTTTGAGAAGCTTTTAATGGACTGGAATTGGACCAGGGATGATTGTCTTCTGTCATCGATAAATTTTGGAGATCAAAGATTGGCCTTTTTTTACTTGTCGAGGTGCTTCGTACCTTCATATAAAGGATAACCAACATCAAAGAATCATACTGTAAACGAATTATATATTTTCCCTTGAAAAAAATAGCGTAGGAATTGGTGGACAATTTGTATTTCAATTTGTGGAACTGTGATAAATCAATTGTAGGAAGATAGAAGGAGAATCATGATAGTTCAAGTTTTGTGCTGCTGAAAGTTACATTAGTATCTCACATTTGTACTGTTTGTTGAGGTATTTATGCCTCGATTAATGCAATATAAGGCAGATGAGGTTAACATGCAAGGCTGCATTCTTTTGACGCATAAATTAAAAAAATAGTTTACTGTAGAGTTATGAACATGTTCACCTATGCACAAATGTGCACATGAATGTAATTCCAGAATGCAAATATAACTTGTTCACAATGCTGTGAAAGTCAAATGGGGGAACGGCTGCTATTATTTCATTAATAAAAAGTAATAAAATGACCAAATACAATACAAAATTGAAAAAAATTTCAAAATAATAAATCGTATGATTCATACTTTTAACTCTAAAGTCTATTTGACATAAATATATAAAATCAAACAATCTTACATGTCAAAATGAAACAAAACAATGTGAGATGTCTTAGGGTTTCAATAAAGACCAGGAATAAATCTTTATAGGAAATAAAACAAGGAGCAAGGAAGGAATCTTGCGTTAAGTGAGTGGATATCAAAGTTAGACGAGATGCGAGGCAAACGAAGGTGTCAAAGTTAGACGAGATGCGAGGCAAACGAAGGTGTCAGGATAGGGCTTTGATGTATTCTGAGGATGTAGAAGAGAAATAAATATAATAAAACTTAATTCTAATGAGATTGAAAATCAAATAGACTAGTTATGCATTTTTATTTAAATAAATGGGAAAAAATATTCATATCGCTTAATATTTAATAATTTGATCATTTAATTTAAGTTAAAGAATTGGGTTGTCAGCCCATCAACAAGGTGCAAAAAGTGAGACTTGGACATTTATGACGATTATTTGGATTGCGAGGCATACACCCACCATAGTCCACACACCTCCTAAGAATCCTTTAATTTCTAGCATACATTCATTAGATAATTTGAAGTGGTTTACAAGCAATTACTTGTACTCTGTCTTTTATCATATTGTCTAACTCTTTTGTACTATATTATGATTACAAAATACTAAACATGGTACTGTTGTGGTCTACTCTCCACTTGAGAAGCCTCACAAATCTTTCATAGTAAAACTCTTTTATGATTAAATAATTTGAAGTGATTCACAAGTGGTATACTTATAATCTTTGCTATAATCATATTTAATTTGTCAAACTCTTTTTGTATTATATTATGATAACGAAAGACTTGAGATAATGTGATAAGCTCAGATTGCTCTAAAAAGAATATTGCTTTGATGTTCATTGTGACCTTCTAATTTAAGATTATAATTGCTCTTAAATTTTGAATGGTGTTTCTTTCTTTGTTTCATCATAAGCGGCTTATTAGTTTTTCGTGACCTTATTACACTTCCATTACGAATATTTTTGAGCTCAAGCTGCTATTGAGTTTTCTATAGTGCTTCTTGTTGTTAGGCAGCTCTAGTTCAATATGGTTTTCCCTTAATTTCTTTTAGAATAGGTGACTTTTGAGTTCTTTTTAACTTAGGTTATAAGTTAGGCTCAAGATGCTCTTGGGTTTTTTATGCGGACTGCAGATCATGAAGATTTTCAGATGAGGAGACGACGATCGACGGCCGAGATCATTCCACCTTATCTTAATTTGTTATTTGTAATTTTTTTTTATTATGAAAATTCCGTTTTTACTATTACTTAAGAGAGTCGTCCTATGTAAGCCCTAGGGGCATATATGTCTTGTTTTAGTTTCTTAGGCCTATATATTGAGGCCCTTGCTTGTTTAATGTAATGTTGGATGATTAATAAAATTTTGTATTTACACTTGTGTTATTTGGGAAGAACCTTGGGTGAGATTCTTATAGGAGGAATTCATAGCTTCCACCAGCCGCAGGATGTGTCCGGGCTCGTGGCCTGAGTCCCTTGGTGAAGGGCAACGAAGTACCCGTCAGCTGCAGGATGTGGCCGGGTTCACGGTTGTATCTTTCTTTACCTAAATCCTTTTCTCCTCCTCCCTTGACCGCAGGCCAAAATCCCCCACTTTCCACTGGCTGATTCTCCCATAAACCCTTCCACTTCCACAAAACCGGCCTCCCCTTCTCCCTCCCCACAGCCTTAGCTCCACCTCCAACACCCCCCGCCAACCTCTCTAGCCGCGGTCTCAACAAACTGCCGGTCACCTTCTTTCCCATTGGTCCCACAAATCTCCCTTCACATTCAAAGCTCTTTCGTATTTTAGCCCTTCTAACTTAGTAACAAATTGAATTTTAAAATTCAAATTAATTTGAATTTGAATTTTGTTTCTAAAATTAGGATTCTTATTTTAGGAAAGTATTTGAATTAGGTACAGTTAATTATTTAATTGGATATGATTTAAATATTACTCCCTAATTTAAGGTTCCAATCAAAGACCTTTTTAAATTCTCTTTCCAAAACCTCTCTTCCCCCTTTTAATGCCGCCGCCCCCTTTCCCCCCTTCTTCCTCTTTGCCTTCAAAATTTGAATTCCCCTTTGATTACTTTCCTTTTATCAAACGATTTAAGTTAGGAAAATATTTGATTTCAAATTCTAAGTAATTTTGAATTTGAAATACTTTCCAAATTTAAGATAGCCTATTTTAGGAAAGTTACTTAAATTAAATCTGATTAGGTTTCTAATTGGATTTGATTTGATTTAATTATTCATAATATTTTGATCTCAATTAAAGCAAGAAATTCAAATCTTAAATGTCCTCTTATTTACCTCCTCGTTTTACATCAGTTTTCTATGGTGTTTCATGGCTTAGGTTAGGCAAATGTGGCTCCTTTAGTTAAATATGCTATGGAGTTGAAGTTTTTTGGTTGCAACGATTGATTTTCTCTAAAAATAATTCAACTTCATTGAAGAAAATATTTCTACTCATTATAATTCTTTTACCCCCAATGTCCCAAAATCTATAGTTAAACTCCCCTTTCTCGACATCTAATTAAGTAGAAGCACATGATAAATTTTTTACTAGCATATCTCTAATGCTTTATTCAACATAAACATATGATAACTGATGTTATCAATAACCTTCCATCATGACAAATACACCCCTCTTTGCCTATCCAAATCCTTCAAGAAGTCTAAAATTGAGTGTAACTGACAGTTCCTCTATCGTATAAATAGAATATTTTTATTTTATCACATCCACCTAAAAAGGCCTGAAAAGACCTGCAGATAGTCTCATGCACCTTAAATATTTTTTAAAAGTTATATTAATTTACATAGATACTCTAAGTTGTTCTGTTAAGTTCTTAGGACCATTATGTCCATAATATCGCGTGTGTTGCGTACTATTTTTCGAATTCTGTAGAGTCATACCCCTACCATTATTTGATTGCATGCACTTTTCACTCTCCACTAAGCAATTTTTACTTTTTAAAAGTTGAAAAATGTCAAATTTATTTAGGATATAAAAACTCCTCTTTTTTGTGTAATCTATGAAGGTGACATAATAAAATAATCTAATGAGGAGATAATTAGGTTTTATTTATCTAAAATATAATATTCACACAAGATGGGTATAACATAAATTAAACTTGAAAATTTAATATTAGCATTAAAAAAGTCATTCTTGCCCGTATGGTACTTGGCTTTTAATGTTATAAATTTGAATTTGCTCCTATATTACAACAACAATAACAACAAAAGTATCAAGCTTTTATCCCACTACCTGGGGTGGCTACATGAATCATTTTCCTTCATTGTATTTTGTTAAGAGACAAATTCCAATTTAAATCTCATTAAAAAGGTCATTTCTAACATTTTCTAATAAAGACTTTTAAGGTCTACCTCTAAATTTCTTAACATAAGCCAAATCTAATACATCTACTCTCCTAACTGGGTCATCGGAAGGCCTCCGTTTATGTAACCAAACCATCTGAGGCAACTCTCTCTAATCTTACCATTGGAGCTACTCCAACCTTTTCACATATATGCTCATTTCGTAACTTGTCTCTAAGAGTAAAGCCACTCATCCACATTAGCATCCTCATCTTTGCAACACTTAACTTAATATTATGACATTAGCATCCTCATCTTTGCAACACTTAACTTAATATTATGCTTCTCTTTTGATGGCCAACATTCTACGCCACAAAGCATTACAGGTCTCACCACCATCTTATAGAATTTTCTATTAAATTTGAGATTTTCTATCATAAAACAAGCCCGATGCATTTCTCCACTTCATCCATCTAACTTGAATTCTACTAATAATATCCCATCTATTTCACCATCATTCTAAAAAATAGACATAAGATATCTAAAATGTGTACTTTTATTAATGAGTTGACTGCTCAAAGTCACAATCCCCCCACTAGATCTATTACTATAAAAACTACACTCCATTTATTCGATTTTAAATCTACTCAAACAAAAACCTTTAGGCTCTAAGGTTGACCTCTATAATTCAAGTAAACCTTCAACTCCCTCTCTAGTTTTATCAAGAAGAAGAATATCATTAGCAAAAAAAAAAAGACCAAGGTACAACCTCTTGCAAAGAACATACATGACTAAAGCAAAAAAGATAGGGCTTAAGGATGATCCTTGATGTAATACAACTAAAATAGAAAAATACTTGATCAAATAATCTTGTATTTGAACACAAGTAACAACTCTTGCATACATATCTGATAGGAAGTGGATGCACTTTTCACAAAAATCAACGGATGAAACATGAAAAATTGGGGAAAAGAACACTCAAAAAATAATTTTATTGAAAGATCTATAAAGATATTTGCAAGATACAATTGGATCTTCAATTGAAGAGGAAGATCCGGCTCTCACAAACCCCTAGCGGCCGGCTAGAGCCCAAGTAAACTAAGAATAAACTAAATTCAGCAAACTCCAAAACATAATTTCCTCCCAA